AAATTCCTTAATATGCCTTTTAGCGTTTATTATATTGTCTGTCTGGGGTGTGCGATAGACTTACTTCCATGTGGTGCACCCTGGGCAACGTATTCTCATACGGCAAAAAAGTCTATTAACCGGCAGTTGACTTCTCACTTTAAACTGCCATCATAACACTGTAAGCCAAAATCGATTACTTCCACAGTACTCACCTCACTTTTTTCTACCTTTGTGTCTGTCTCTTTTATATCTTTGAAATATTCTTCTCTTCCCTCTCCCTCCCTCTCGACTTTTTTCCCTTCGATGTTCCTTCCCCTCTGTGGAGTCTGAAGACAACTATTAAAACGCCTGCCATTTGATATAAATAAAATTATTGTCTGTCTAATTTGTTTCTTTAAAATATCATTTTATTTAAATGAGTCGTGTTTATTTATAAGTCAATTTTCCCTAATTGGAGGCCAACTTAAATGTTAGTCAAGTTAGTGTTTTAACTTGTAACCGCTTAGGTAACTGTCTCTTCCATTGTAGATAAACCCCTTGTTACTGATAACTGCCCATCGCTTCACAATCTCTGTTCACCACTTTTACAATTCTTGGGTGAATCCTCCGGTATTTCTGGTCTTCCTTCACCTCCACAGGATACCTCATCCCTCTCTGACACCCTCAATCCCAGTTCCGTTCTCGTAGGTCTCGCCGTTGCTTTAGAAACTCTCTCATTAGCTCTTATATTAGCAACATCCGCCGTGGCTATTCTGCGTCCCCGGAGGTCCGTTCCTTCCCTTTTATAACATTATTTCCTACTGAATTTAAATAAGTAGGTTTTCTTATAGCCAGGCGCACCGCCAAAGTATGAACAAGTTGTCAAAGAAAAATAAGAAGAAGCAGGAGAAGTCAAATGAGGCAGAAACACAAAAAGTACAGACTTCTCCTATGGCAAAGCGCTTTGACCAAGCTGCTGTGGTTATTCGTACGTCATTATTGCCTCAACTTCAACAAGTTGCAACGAAGCTTCAAGAATTAAGCCAATCATGGGCAGATTGGTCATCTGAAAAGGCAGCAAAGGCTTTTACTGCTACAGCTGAAGAAACTGCTAAGGCTAAATTGACTACGATTACTGAGGCCAATGAGGTAACTATTGCTCTACTATCATTTGTTCTATTGATTATTATTATTTATTTCAAATGGCAGGCGTTATGATAGGTATCATTAGCCCTTTAGTTGACTTCGGGCTCTGATATTTATCATTAGCCCTTTAGTTGACTTCAGGCTTCAGAGAAAGGAAGAGGAACACCAAAGTGGCAAAAAGTCGAGAGCAGAGACAGTGGAGGGATTAATGATTTGCAGATGTTAGAGACAGACACAAACAGAACAATGTTTCACAGATGTAAAAGAGATAGACAGACAGACACAAAGGTATAAAAAAGGTAAGGTGAATACTGTGGAAGAAATCGAATATGACAAGCAGTGGGGTGATGGTAGGTTTGAAGTCAGAAGTCAACTGCCGGTTAGTAGACTTTTTTGCCGTATGAGTATATGTTGCCCAGGGTGTACCACGTGGAGGTAAGTCTATCGCACACCCCTTGATTATTATTGTTATTATTATTCATGTTAGTCCCTGCTGTTGATTTTTATTCTTCTTTTCTCTTTTGTACGTGATAGATATTAAACATTACCTTTGTCAAACTTTCTTAGCGAAACTCATCAGCTTATAGATGACATCCAGACAAGGGGAATAC